TGGCAGAGTTCAAATGGAAAATATCACAACCAGATAGAGTACATCAAGTTGAAGAGATGTTTCCAGTCTTGTGTGGACGTCATCAGAGATGAAAGTTTTCCAGCAGCTGACATTTTAAAAATGATTATGTATTAGTGATGATGACCTTCCAACTCCAGCTGAAGAAGGTCAACAAATGGAGACAAACAAAAATCAAGTTTGAAGTTGAAGGATCCCAAGATCACAGAAGCTGTCCAAGTGGCAACACGAGGAAAATGTGCACCACATACCATGCTCAATACAGATTGACACGTTGATTGACAACTTCCATAGAAGAATGAAGGAAACTGCCAGTGACATCCTTGGCAAACACCAACCAGTTAAAAAAAAGAAAAGAAAAAATACACCTTAGATTACAACTGGCAACCCTTGGTTTGTGTAACAAATGGAGAGAGCTGAAGAAGAATGAGATTTTTAAATCAGTATCACCCCATGCAAGGCAGTGAAGCAACTAAGACACAAGGGGTTACAGGGTGTAGAAGAATTAGGAACAGAAACATTAATAATGAGGAAAGAGGAAAGAGTAATCAAGGACAGTAGATAGTGATTGAAATTGCAATTGTGTTTTTGCAGATTAAACTTGGCTGAAAAGCATGGAGCCAGAAGGGAGCTCCACAAGCAAGAAGTGTGAGAAAAGAAACTGTTAGCATAAAATTTACAGTTACATCTAGCCAGCTCAACTGTAAATTGATGAGATATTGATGCCAGTCTAGTACTGCTTCTTAAATTCAAGAATCTAGGTACCATAGTGAAGAGCTCATCCTAACAATTACGTGAAAGTATTTATAGAAAAGAGACAGAAATGAAGAAAAATATGAAAAATGAAACCTGGATTGAGGAACAGTGCAAAGATATTGAAGAGAAACTAAATAAGGAACAAGAGTAAGACAAGCCATGATAATTGATGAAAGATCTGACCAGCAGGAAACAAAGAGAAAGTACAATTATACAAGATAAAAGATAGAAACTACTTTACAAAAGGCTGACATTTTAAAGAAATAGACATCCTTTACACAGTGTCATAAGTGACCCAGAGGTACTGAACTTCTCTCCAGCAACTAACACTGACTACTACTCTATCCTCCAGGAAGAAGAAAAAGCAGAAGCAGCTTTAAAATAGCTAAAGAAAGAGAAAACAGGCATGGACATTTTAAAAGAATTGGTTCAAATTGGAAGAGAAGCCATTTAGTCATTGTTCATAACCATCTCCAAGAAAGGCAACTCACAATGGAGATAGAATTACTGCATGATTAGTCAAATATACCAACCAAGTCATATTAAAGATCTTTCTAAAATAGCTGAAGCCACAAGTGGAAATGGTCATTGCTGAGGGACAGGCAGATTTCAAAGCAGAGTGTAACACAAAAGAGCAGCTCTTCAATCTCAGGATATGATGTGAGAAATTGGTCAATAAGAATTCTACAAGTATCATGTAGAGTTAAAAAGATATTTGACAGGGTATGGCATGCAACCTTATGCTTAATCATGTGGTTGTACAGAATGCAGCAGAAATACATCCTATATACATTTTCCACATAATGGTTAAGAAATTACCTACAGGGTGAGGCAGAAATACCTCCCACATTTTAAACAGTCACCTGTGTGGTGTTAGTGTAAGTGGCAATGGTGTCTTCATCTAGCTAATGTCTTACCATTATGTAGGAAGTATTTCTGTTTTACCCTGTATAACATCAATGCCAACCTGATTAGAATCAGAGAGAACCTCTACAAGGCCACATTTCACAGTCGACTTATTAACAGCAGTCAAAGTAAAGCATGCCTGCTTCTCTGCCTACTCATTTTCAACATCTTCCCTGAGAGACTCATGGCTGATGTATTAGAAAATGGCAAAGAACAATCAGCACCGGAGACAGAACAGTTACTAACCTACAATTTGTTAGCCATCACACTATGGCTGGGTTATAACTTATTGAGGACCCTAGGCTAATAAAATTATGGACCCCTCCCCGCCCTCTAAATCACCTGCACCCATTTTGAATATTGTTTACTTGTAATATATTATAGCAACATTTATATAGCTTGAAGTCAACTTATCGCAAATTCTTTAATTAAACTAGAATCTTTCATTTGTCAATAAAAATATTCCCTAAGAAATACTAATATTTTACTATTTATTGCAAACTAAATTAGCACACATTTCAACATAACAATAGTAAAAAAAAAAAAAAAATTTTTTTTTATAACCAGTATTATAAACAAGCTTTATAGGCCCAAGGCTACAGCCAATACTAGTCTATAGGATAATCTAGCCCTGCCAGTCAGCATGCTGAAGACACAAAATATGTACCAGTTAATAATGAAAAGTCATGCAGTATCTTCAGTAAATTAAACGTAACAATTTAAGGATAGGTGAATTTATCATGCCACATTTTTAGTTGTCGACAGAGAAGTTCTTAACATGGGCTTATTTATGTCATATAGTATCACAAATACCCATAGACCTTTGGGAAATAAGACAATCTTGGCAATATCATATTTAACATTATAACCAACATGAATATGTTATCAAAATTTATGTTAACACTAGCTTAAAAACTGCCTTCCTTGAGGACTTTTAAGCTAGCTCCTGCAGAGGGCTAATTGGGCCTCTGACCCAAAACTAAAAGAATCTCTAGTCCAGCTTAGAAAACAGCAATGATAATTTAAAAAAAAAAATAACTTTGAATTCCTTAATTCACTCCATGGAACTTCAAAACCTCACTTTATCTCAGATTCAGGCTATAAATCCAATTCCAGCCAAAATTCCAATTCAAGCTGAAAATTGACTTCTTCAAATCATAAACTCTGCAGAACTTCAAAACCTCATGTCACAAAACCTCTCACTAACTCTGATTCCTTGGCATTTTGAAGAAATAAAACTGATTTGCTCAATTCACAAACTTTTGGAGATATTTTAAACTGAATTTAAAACATTTTTTTTAAATTCACAAAACTCAATGTAAATTAAAATCTTTTAAAATTACTAATTTTTTCAGTTATTTTAAAATTTGTATTTAACCGTTCCCTCCTCATCTGGACACAAATCCCAATGCTGGTTGTTCAAGCAGTCAGTCAGTTATGTGCCATGCATTGATACATGTGTAGGTGATCATGTATCTTTCCATACTTAACTGATAGATTTTTTTTCCTACAGTAGGTTGACATTTCTTTCTGTGGTAGACCAGTTGCCATCCAAGGCTATAGAATCCAGTCTGTCCTGCTATTTACCCATAGCTGAGGGAAGAAGAAGAGAATTCATACCTTTCCCTTAAGAAGGAGGCAGCTCCAATCTGTATATCATGCCAGGAGGCTTATATAATATGTCACATTTTGAAAAATTGTTTAGACTTGAAGCAAACTCGCCAAAAGTACTACAAAGAAACAAACTTGAAAGAAGTATTCCTCCAAGTAAAACCTTCAAAAATACTTGAATATATAAGAGAAACTGGTCTCTATAACAAAATCTAGAAGAGATTGGGATAAACACAAATATATCAAGATATATACCTCCATGAAACTGCTTACTTCAAGATGCCTACTCAAACCAAGAAACACATTTAACTTAAGATTCTTTTAAAGTCACTCAAACCCATTTTCAGCATAAGGTTGAGATGCCGTTAAACAAAACAATCAATCAATCAACCTTTCCCAAGTGTATTAGCATGTAAATGAATGTAATAGATTCAACTGGAATTTGAACTTGGCTCTCCGCATTCCTCAATCTGAGCCACTATCCCTAAATCCACCGAGCCTCCTGCCGCTATTCATTACTCCACTTTCAAGCACCAGACAAAAATAGCAAATGACAAAACTGAAGGCCATCTGGAATGGCAGAAACTGCTCATTCAGTCCCCAAAATCATACTGGTACACTCTCTGGTCACATCAAATTCTATGTCTATGAATCATGGACTTTGACAATAAACATAAAAAAAGATTTTTTCAAAATCTCTTTGGAATCTCCTACAAAGACCATATTGCCAATGAAGAAGTGAGAAATAAAATCAAGCCATCAGACAATAAGAAGACTTAACTACAGTAAAGAGATACAAACTAAAATTTATAGGTACATCTCACAATCAGCAGAGCTTGGCAAGAAAATTCTGAAAGGCACAATGGAATGGAGAAGAGGCAGGTAGGGGAAAAAAAAAGACAAGAGGACAATATCCCAGAATAGACAGGCATAAGGTTGAGCAATACCCAGACAGATGTCCAGAAAAACAGAGTTTTAGAGGAAGCTATTTGTTAAGTCATGTGTGACACTTCTACGGTCAGCCAGACCATAGATTATATATATATATATATATATATATGTATATGTTTTATTAAAGACATCTCACAAGATACTGCAATTAATAAGAGTTTGTTTTTTTTCTGGACATAAATAGATTTTTATACATACATAAAAATTTACACATTCAGTTAAAAAAATAAAATAAATAAATCCTTCATAACGGCTAAAAGAATAGCTGAAATACAGAACATTCAGACAATTTTTACATACTTTATGTCCAGAAAAGAAAACATTTATACAAACAAGAAAAATTGAATAAAAAAAGCTTAATTGCAGTACCTTGCCAGACATCTTTAATGAAACTTGTATAAAAGATGAATTGCCACCCAAATAGACAATTGTACATGTGTTTGGGAGAGTGGGTGAAAAGTTCTCAGCCTGCCCCACTTCCCAAAAAATCTGACCAAATGATCAAACACCAGATTTATTATTTTTAAATCCCTTGTTTGGGCTGATAACCTTTCACCATCCATTCATATAAGAACCTAGTCAACAACAGAAAAAATTTTTTTTTTAAATTACAAAAATAATGCCTTATTTTATTCAATGCAAAGTAAATATAAGGAGAGTGTCAGAATACTTTATGGAGGTTTCAAACTTCACATGCCATTTTTTGTTTTTCAAATATGGAACGAAAGAAGTTAATAAAAACTGGACTGTCATCACAATTAAACCTGTAATACAAGACCTGCCGAGGAAATGTTGTCTCCACCCCCTGCAGTCTGCTGAACCTTAGTACAGACAAGAACTGGAGCTATACAGATCTGGAAACGATCTTCATCCCAGCATGAAACTGGACGGTTTTTCTGGAGAGGAATTCGCTGTGCTGATTTGAGCTTACTTGTTGAAAAGGAATCATCCATTAATATTCGAGCTTTTAACGTATCTATGTCTGCTGATCCACAAACATGCCTATGAGCAGTCAGTGCAGCTTTAGCTGTGGCAGACATAGAGTTCTTCCAAGTGGATGATTTGTCTGTAAGGATAGCCTGGAAGGCAATAGTGTGTACATGTAGACGAGTCAATCGACGTCTGCCTTCCAACTCACTGCTATTCTGCAAATGACTGTAGACAAAACGCATCTGATCTAGAACTGTTGCAATTCTTGGATAGCTGTCTGACACAACAGTTACACTACCATCATTCAACAAAGTGACCAAGTTTGGTAATTCCTGCTCGTTGAGCCCGATAGAATCTGCATAGATAATTACTTTAGCCATTATTTCATGAAGAAGGTCCATATCCGTGAATGATGCAAATTCAAAATGAACCTTGGTCTTTCGAGGAAGACTTGACAGCATTTCTTGAACTTTGTTTAGTCGTCCAGTTCTCTCACCTGAAAAAGAAAAGGATGAACTTTTAACTTCTACCCAGCTGCATAGTGTGTGCGTGCGTGTGTGTGTGCGTGTGTGTGTGTGCAAGATTCATTAAATATGACAGACAAGGTGCTTTGATTAAGTTTTTTTGATATAATTTCTCATATGATGTTATAATTTTTTCTTTTCCGTAAATAAATTATACAAATGTTTTATTTTTCCAAGCGCTTTTGGCTATACCTTTAGCCATTATGAAGGAAGAATTATATTTACCATTAACTGAAAATGGATTGTTGTGTGTATGTTTTTAGCATTATAGAATGTTTTATTTTGAAAATAGTTACCAGAAGAAAATGATTGAAACAAAATATGTATTAGGGGTTGACTTATACATGGGTAATAGTTTCACCAGGTTGAAATTTGTGTATGATAGAAAGGGCTAGGATCCAAAGTTGGAATATGAAAAATATTCATTAGTTACTAATAGTAAACAATAGAGACAAAATATGTAGGTCATAGTAATAGGACAAGTGAAGATCACTACCCTTCATTAGTTAAGGTGATTCAAATAATGGAGCACTTAGTAAGGATCAAACTCACTGCATCAATGAAATGATTTGAAAGATAAGCTTGTTAATCATCACTCTACACCCAGACCCAGTTGGCATGCTGAAGACAGAAAATATATACCAATTAGTAATGAAAAGTCAGGATCGTCAGTAAATTAAACTTGCCAAACAAGGTTTTGGAGAAAATTGAAACAAAAAGGGAAACTTACACTTACTTAACATCAGAAAGAGGTAGTTGAAATTTCTGACACACGTAATGAGGAAGGAGGTCTTGAGAAATCTGATACTCACAGGACAGATTGAGGGACAGAGGAGCAGAGAAAAACAGTGAACAACATACTAGATGAGCTTGATAGTAGAACAGGGTTTGAGAAAAATAACAAAAAGACAAAACTTACTTACTACGAGGGACAGGAAGATGTGGAGGGCCTAATCACTTATGTCCTGAAGAGATATGGCAGATAAAAGGAGAACTTACCATGCCACATACTTTTGGTTGTTTACAGACGTTTTTAACATGGGCTTGTTTATGTCATATAGTAACAAACCTAAAATAAGCAAATGCTTGGGTGCTTTTTTTATTTTAATTTGTTAGATAACAAACAAAACTGAAGCCAATTAATGTACAAGTCTATGTTGCAGATCTTTCTAGGAGCCAAGCTCTACCATATAGAATTTCACAAGATCTACAGAAAATAATTAGGATCTTTTCAATATTTTTATGATTAACATAATTCATATCTAGCATATGTTATTATTTCCACTGAAACATAAGGATACACAATATATTATCAGTTGTTGAATGTTGCCAGACAGTAAATCAAAAATAGCCGAATGTAAAGGTGCCTTGTTACACCCGATTTATTTTTTCAACAGATTCAAAAAATGCAGTTACCTTCCCCTATACACAAGTCATAATTTCTTAGCTATAAAAGATTAATCTATATGCTGGATTAATTTATATAAGAAAATCAATCATTTCATAACCTAATGAAAAAAAGCCTTTATTCTATACAATAAATATCTATTTTTCAATATAATGTAATTCATTATTATATGAATTTCCATTTGGACTGGCATAATCATCTTGGTTTTTTTTTTATACTCATGCTTTAACTGTTGTAATCTCTGGCCTTCACCAGGTGTCTGTTTAACTTGAATTTCAAACTGAACCTTTTATTTAATCCATGAAAGTAGATTATTCTCATTTCACTTTCAATGCTTAGGAGATATCTTCTATTAGTTCATTCTCTTTTGTCTATTCGCCTTTGGGTCATTTTTCTGTTTCTTTCATTAAAACAGCCTATATAACTTTATCTAATACCTTACTCAGTAATTGAACTCACGAGATGCCAGGAAACAAGATATATTTTAATCAATATTCTGAGTATAGCAACCAAGATGAAAATATTAGCATGAGCGGAAATTCATATAATAATGTTATTTCCTGATCTGAAATATTCTCACATAAATTATAATCTTCCTTGTTAATGGAATTTACTTAATTCGTCACAAAGATCAAAATCCAGGAAACTAACCAAGTTAACTAAGGACTTATTAAATCTACTTTTATATAGAAGTATATTATATGTTTCACAACCATTTTTTTTTTTTTACAATAAGGTTCACCCTGTACAAGGCCTGGGGAACACTTGAGATTGAGGGCTACAATAAGGGGTAGTTTATACAGATAGGAGGGGAAGATAACAGTTGACACTAGACTTGAACAGGTTGATTGTAGTGATCAGGGAAACATCCTCTAGGGAGTCTGTTCCACAGAACAGTGGTTTGTGAGAAGAAGCTGTTTGAGTGGAACTTACTTCTCTGTGGGTGGTTTGTTACTAAGTAGCATGGCAGGTCCCAGTCGTGAAGGTTAGAATTAGTGGAACCAGAAGATGCAGTTCGTCTGAGCAGTTTCCATGGTAGTAATGATAGAGCAGTGGGAGACTCACCACGTCCTGCTTATGAGAGAGAGGTTGCAGGGTGGAAAATAATTCTTCTCCCATAAGGACTCTATCAAAACTGGAAAGTGAGATCTGAGCAGCTCCTGCCGAAATATTGACAACAGTACTCCATTTTTGGTCTGATCTGGTAGAGGATAGCATGAAGAGTCAAGTAATTACTGGAGTGGTACAGGGAGCTGGTCATTTTACCTGCATTGTTAGCAATGGATATTTCAGGGTGCACTTGTAGAATAACAAACTCTGGAGTACATTTTAATAAGGGAAAATTATTCATGAAATTTGAAAATATGAAATTTAGGTTTAGCATTCCCAAAGATTAGCAGTACAGTTTTCAGTTAAGGGGATTTTTGAAGAATCTCTTTTTTTTTTTTTTAGAGTGGCCGATAATTTAAAGGAAGGCAAAAGGGAAAGGATTATCCACTCCTTAAAGATTAAGGAATTTAACATCCAATTTAAAATATCAAATAACAAAGACCTGACTTAGACATGGAAGCCATATGTTTAATGTCTGTAGCTTTTTAAAAATAAAGATTTTTTTTTTTTTAAATATAAAAATTATTTATAAATTACTCTTCTGTTAATTTGGGGCACACCTGGCTACCTTTCAGGGCACATTAGTGAGTCTGGGCATAAATGGTTGAGAAACACTGATATAGATAAATGTTTATTTACATTATTTACATGCAGACTATTATCCCCATTTTTGTTGTTGTTGTTGACAATTGTCTGTATGTAAATAATGAGAAGTCTTCATCCCAGAAATTTCAGACAGAAAGAAATCATAAATAAATGATACTGTAAATTGATTTCTTTCTGCTGAAAAAAAATGAAGTTTTACATAACCACCCATTTCTTTTTGTTACTTTATAAAAATACGGTGAGGACTGATACCAAAAGATTTATTTTAAAATGCTTAATTACATTTGTCATTTAATTGTTTGATTTGTAACATTTTAGTATTGTGGCATCAGTCCTTACAGTATTTTTATAAAGTAACAAAAAAAAAAAAAAAGAAAAAAACGGATGGTTATGTAAAACTATTTTTTTGGCTTCTTTCTGTTTTAATAGTATGTTTACAATGATATTCTTTTGTTACTACTCCCAGACGAAGAAAGGAGAATGTATTTTTTGCCAATCAAACAACTCTATCTTGTACATAGATATAAAGTTAAGCTTGGTGTGGTACAAAGACACAGTAGCGAGTCACATATAAGGCCCAACTCACAACAAATGCTACAATTTGTTAGATAAAACTGTTGACCATTACTCTAAAGGAAGTATCTCTTGTACTACATAAGTAGTCTTTCAAACTGTTTTGTAATTCATGTTATGTATAAGGTACACAATCGGTATCTACCATAGCAATAAGGTTAGCAAGCTGAACTCGCAGAATAATGCAATAACAATTTTATTGTAAGTAATGCCATTGTAATGTTTTGCAAAACATCCACAAGAACAAAGGAATGTGATCTATCGCAGAGGAGATAGTCATATTAGTGGAAATAAGATGGTCAAGTCCCCTTGAAAGGAGTTTAAATTTCTTGTAGACCAAAACCTGCTGGTCAAACAACCAAAATTCCAAAAGTTATGAATTTAAAAATAAATGTGTAAAGCAGTTTTTAAATGTTTAGTGTCATGAAAAGGTTCTCAGAATCTATAGAATACTCATTCATAGTTTGAAAAAGTTTTCAGGCTTGTGGTAAAGAAACATCTCACCTGGTTCATAGGGGAAGTTATCCATCATCTGAAGACCGCCTAAAACAAGCAAAGATGGCTGAAAAGAGTCAAGTTGTTCTTGGAAATTTTCCAGGGCCTCAAGTTGTGGATTGCTGTTGTCACTATGTAAAATTAATCTAAAGAAAAAAATAGTTTTATTTATTTATTTTTTTGCTTTTTACACATGAAGGAGGTTAATATAAAAACGGTATTTCACATTTACCTTCTGAGAATTTAAAAAAAGCATTTATAAAACAGTGTTAGATGCCATTGTCACTTGTAAATCTAATGTGACATACATTGGTCATAGACATGTTAAGTTGCAATTTCAAAAGGAACCTGCAATTTTTTCACATAAAAAAAAACAAAAAAAAAAAAAATTACAGAATGAATGGCAATGAATAACAAGTTTTATGTTGACAATTATATAAAAATTTTACAACAGGCTTTTGTTTATGCAAATTATCAAAAGCAAAAGTTTTTATTTTACATATGAAAATGGAAATGTGCCGTAACTACATTTATGAAATTGAATTGAAAATGAATATTTACTAATAAGAGAAAAGAATCATGTGAGATATTTCATGTTGTCAGGCATTTAATTTGTTGAAACAGCTTAAAAAAAAAATATTCCCTTTCAGTTAGAAAAATGTTTTACACCAAATATGATCAAATGTTGGAAATTCTTTACACTTTCATCCAATTCTTAGAGTATTTTATTTAGTTGGAGCAACAGCAGAAATAGAAACAAATATGTAAAAATAAAAAGTATAAGTCTTTTCCTTCATAAAGTCTGGCTTGATTTGAATCAATCTTTGTACATCATGAGTAGATTATAAAAAGACTGAATTACAAAAAAAGCATCAAGATTTGAACCTTATCCAAAACTTTACTTTCAACAAATAAGAATGTCCACTTTAACAAACAAAACATGAATTCTGCTGAGTTCAGGCATAACATGATTTTTATAATCAGAAATTACATTTGAGAGGAGTTACATTAATTCTAGTAAAGCATTAAAAAGAGATTAAATTTTAATTTCCCAAGTGTAAAATTGTCAAAGTTTGGTTGTATGTGCAAGGATTTTGTCTCAAGCTTTTTTTACTGTTTTATCATAGGGTTTTACCTTGCTAGGCATATATATATTTTAAATGTTATCTCCTTAAGGACATGGATTAATGTGACTCTCCACAAATCCCTTTTTATGATCTGTGAATTGCCATGACTTCTTAGGAGGTATAGCAGAGTGATTTCTGGTTGTCTTCTCTACAGTTTTAAGTTTAGTTGTCCTTTCCTTAGACTAGCTGCTACACAAGGCCAGAGGGCCCAGTTTGCCCTACTATTTAACCCAACAGCTGGTGGTGAGGGAGAGAGAAGAAATGGATTCACACCTTTCCCAAAGGCATGAATGCAAGAGACCAGAACAAAATTTAAACTTGACTCAAAAATTCTACTTTCTGTTCCAATAAATTCAGACTATTGTCCTCATCTTTGAAAAAGATGAAGATAATAGTCTGAATATAAATAGTTTGAATAAATTTTCATGGTAATTGTTCTGATGAACTTTCCTCTATGGTACCTAGACTTTATGAATTTAAGAGCAGTACTAGACTAGCAGCAAGGTCTCATCATTTTACACTTGAAATGGCTAGATGTAACTGTAAAGTATATGCTAACAGTTTCTTTTCTTGCACTTCTCACTTGAGTAACTCTCTTCTGACTTCTTGCATTCAAGTCAAATTTGATCTTCAAAAGTTTAAATGCAATGTCAATCACTATCTTCCGTCTTAAGTTTTGTTCTTTTATTTCTCTTTCTTTTTAATGGTGTTTTTTTTTCTCATATTCTCTAACACTCAGTAAATCCTTATGTCTTAGTGGTTTTATTGACTTGCTTGAGGTGTAATGATTAAAAAAATAAAAAAATACAACAATCAGAATTGAACAATAAATTTTCTATTAAACATATACAGGTCATATCAATATGCTACAACCTAATTTTTTTTTTTTTTTAGAAAATAGCAAAACATATTTTCTATAAGTATAACTGTTTTTTTTTGTTTTTTTTTAACAAAATAACCACATCTTGGGATTTACTTATATCGACTTGTTAAAAAAATTGTCTTACCTATTAGCTCTGGGTGACGTGAAACTTCCCCAGTTATCTCCCTTGTTGTATTCGAGGATTAAATGTATATCGTCAGTTACAAGATTGGGGCCAGCAACTAGAAATAAATAAAAATGTTGATGTATACTTGAATGCATTAACTCTGAAACAATAGATGCTAAAAATGGGAAAGTTAATTCATGATAATACTATGGCAATGATAAAGTCTTCTTTTAAAATACAGACTATTTTGATTCCGGATAAAATACTGTGGAAGACATGTTGACTTTAAACCTGTGGTTCCCAACGTAGGGGCACAATTTGATTTTTAAGGTGAAGAATGAGTTTATTAACTGAATTTTTTCTAATGAGTCTGTGTGAATATAAATTAGTATGACTATATGCGAATTAATATATATGATGCATATACAGTATGCATACATACACACACATTATATATATATATATATATATATATATTCTGTTTATATGTTATTTTTTTTTTTAGATACAATTTATTTAAGTAAATGCTGTTTTTAATTAAATAGTATTAATTACATTTACTGGCCTGAATGTTCAAGAAAATTTTGTAGAAAATATGCGTTCTCTGACAGGAATTGAAACTGTATTTGTATACAGAAACTGTCATTTGATCTGATGTGCTATAACATTTAGCTACAGAGAAGCATCTGGTTAGTAAAATCCGAATTACTGTTTATAAACACACAGACATGCTGATTTCACATCTTAGTAAGTCATGTTTTGGACAAAGTATTTGGTTTACTAATGTGATTTTCTGATATCAGACAATAATAGATTGAATATGTAACAAAACTACATCTAAAATAGGCTAAAGTGTTGTGAACAAACAAAACAAAAATTTAAAGCATATGAATGAACAACTCATTTTAAAAGTGGATCAATAAGACCAGAGCTTAACACAGACTTAGCTGAATTTTGATCTAAGATTAATTGTCCTCTAAATTACACAAAAATGAAAATAACACTAACATACCATTTTAACAGATATATTTATCAAAATTACACAGAAATATCTTGAAATACAAGAGAAAATTTATTCAATAAAAATCATCATTGGCTTCAACCATGGTCTCCAGATGACTTTGGAATCTCCTGCATCTATTCTGGACAGTCTTCTTTTTTAAGTTGGTGAATGCTGCCATAATCCTTCATCTTTGGTGTTACAAGGAGTTTTGTTGGTCTCTCGCTCAACTGTGCCCCACACATGATAATCAAGTCGGGTTGCAGTCTGGGGAGTTAGGTGGCCAAATGTAAAGGGTTATGTGGTCGCATAAATTGTCTGATCGCCATGACTAGGTTCTACTTGTGTGGCATAGTACAGAGTCCTGTTGCCAGACATAGGGTCTTCCAGTAGCCACCCTCTTCACCCAGGGCAGCACTACCTCCTCAAGGCACCTGATGTAGGCCTCCATGTCGAGTCTGAAGTCCCATGGGAAGATAAATGGAGGCATAACATCATCATCACTAGTGATCACTCCAAACACCATGATGGAGACTGGATATATCATCCAACTCTTTCTGAATCCTCTGCACTGTCCTCAGATTGACACCCAAACACTATGAAATGTTCATATTGAAGCTTCCGGTGCTAATGCCAAGCAGTATAACATGTTGTTTCCAAATTTCTCACAGACAGTGCCCAACTGACCCCATTGTACCATGCAGTTGACAAAATCAAAAACAATGCACATACAGAAAATTAAAAATATGAAATGACGACAATTTACCCATTGCATCCTGTATAATGTTCAATCAATGTGATTAATATTCACCAGTGAATTAAGTGCAGTGACAAGAAAGAAGATTATGATGAAAAATATGTTACATAAAATAAATGCTTTCATCATTAGTTTATGAACTTATTGGCAAACTTAAATATAATTCAGCTGCAAAAATATAATTGTGTTTAATATACATTTTAAAGTTTAACATTCTGTGAGTTATTTTTTAAAATGTTTCTTTTTTATTTTAGAGGGTGCATTTTCATTATCATCATTTTATTCATTTTATTGCTGCTAATTATTATCAAAATGAAACTGCTCTCTATCAAGCACCTGAGAGGTCATTTTCTGCCTTCCATCAGCAAGGAGAAGAACTCATTTTCCACTAACATGAAGTGGAAAGATTATATTGAATCAATTGCTAGGTAAGTTGGTTCACTGTGTCAGGCTAGACAATTTTTCTACCCAGAATCTATCTTACATATTGATAAGTCTGCAATTCATCCTTGCATTGAATATTACTGCCACATCTTGTCTGATGCTCCTGCTATACATTCTTGATAAAATCCGAAGAAGAATCAGCAATGTTATTTGTCCTGACCTGGAATCTTATCTGTCTCACTTTCACACCACCATAATGTAGCTTCCCTGTACCTTTTCTATAAATACTTTCATGGTAATTGTTCTGACAACCTTTCCTCTCTGGTATCTCAACTTTATGAATTCAAGTGCAGTACTAGATTGACAGCAAGGTCTCTCATCATTTTACAGATGAAATGGCTTTATGTAACCATGAGTTCTATGCTAATGGTTTCTCCTATCACACTTGTGGAACTATCTTCCTGTTTGATCTTCAAAAATTTAAATGTAATGACAATTGTCATTTTCTGTCCCCTTAATTCTTGGTCATTTATTATTCTCTCCTTAATAGTATTTTTCTTCTTTTTTTCTCATACACTTCAACACTCAGTAACTCCTTGAGTCTTAGTGGCTTTATTGTCTTGCTTGGAGTGAAATGATTAAACAAAAAAAAAATACACTCTACAACTCTGAAAGCAGACAGCACAAAAGCAAGAATTAAACAGCTTCTGACAAAACATTAACTTGCGTTCTTAAAAAAAAAAAAAAAAAAGTGTAAATATATTAAAATAAATTTTTTTTTAATTATTCTTGATCAAATTCTTAAAAAATGGTTTTACTGTTCATTCAATAATAAACTTATCAAAATCATTTACTTAAGACCACACCTGATAAATTAGAGAAAAAGATCAGATGAGAAATATAATCATTTTTAACATATGACCTGCAATCAATAAGAGGTTGACAGTATTTTTTTACCTTTAACTTCTGGAGGGAGGAGAGCCCGCAGTTTCTTAGAATGGGACATTCCTAAAAGGACTTCAGCTCCTTCTTGGACCAAACGTTGAGCCATAGATAAAGCATTGCCTCCAAGAAACCACTGTCGTCCTTTTATAGAATTGGCATTTTTCCATAATTCTTCAAAGAATGTGTCATTGTTGACATAACGCCTAAAAAAGAAAAGAAAATCCTACCATTAAATACAGCAGCTACTCTTAGAGATTTATAAAAAGGAATGGATTTTTATCTACAGTGGTTTAAATAAGAACTGCTAACATCATAATAACTATCTCTCTCTCTCTCTCTCACACACACACACGGGGTACTGAAAAGTCCTTAGTCCAACTCATTTCTCTAAAATCTGGGCAAATGAGCAAACATTAGATTTGTTTCAAGTTTGAGAAATTCTCAGCACCCACTAGGCCATTGTTCTTGTTAATTCATTTTATTTCCTGCCTTGGTTCTAAGCAACACTAGTTGACAGGACTAGAATTTGCAGCTCTCTACAATAGAGCACTATTGTCAATGACATGTAGAGGTTTGGTGATGTCCCGTGCTAACTCCTTGATTGTATGCCCCTAAGACTCAAGCAGAGGGGCCTATAGGGCCTACTACTGAGAAATATGAGAAAGGAAGACATTTTAAATATGTAAAAACAACTGAAACATGAAATAAGCACTTTATTCAAATTAAATATAAACTAAATTTTTATTTCACACTGACTGGATGCAGTCTCGATATGGATGCTTAGGGCCGTTGTACCCTCTGTACCCCACTTCTGATCATTGTATTGCATGTAGCATCATCATCGTCAGTATATTTGACATATACTAGATCGCAGTTGACATTACAGAATAGAATATTTATAAATGTTCCTTTTTAATGAAAAAAAAACAAGTATTTATCAGTCTGTTTAGATTCAACTCTGAAAAAGAAAGTTAATTTTTGTTTTTCTTAAATATAGAAATAACTTTTTAGTTTTGTACTGAGATTTCAGACTTGTATGGTTAAAATTGTTTTTTTTTTCTCCAAGAATACAGAAATATAATATTAATTTAAAATTGCAAAGAAGTAAGCCTTTTTATAAAAAAGAAAAAAGTTCTTGAAATACTAGTGTATTTTTTAAAATATCTCCTTTCTTAAAAGATATACTCCTTCCCCAAGCCAACATACACAAATTTTTTTTAAACATAAAAAGAAAACAGTTACATTCAAAACTTTCCATTATTTAAAATAGTTTATCATCTTAAAATAAAATAATAATTACATTATAAAAAAAAAAAAAAAATCAACAACAGTAACATTTATTAGGCACTAAATTATTTCACTTAGCCTCCTCCATAGTTTACCTTGTCTAAAGAATATTTATGAGCATTCTTAAGTTTACAAGTTTTTAAAACCTAATGATATTTTTACCTTTGTTTATAAATACTTATTGCAAAATAAAATCCTTACATTTACTTTGATAAAGACCATCAGAGGACAAAATGCATTGGTTAAGAAAAGTTTTCCTTTTGTCCTTATATATATATATATATATATATATATATATATATATTTTAGTGTAATACTTTTTACAGATATTACACTTCTATACACATACAAACATACTAGATAGATCAAAGTACTACCTAAAATTTACGAGAATTTGACCATAAAAATTGATCATAACACCTAGCTTCCAAAATCTCTTGAAATATTTTACTTGGCTGCTGTTTGCACACTAGCTCACAAAGAGTAGTGACAAATATCCAGACTAAATTTATTGTTTGGGTAATACTTCGTTTGTGTACAGTAAAGGACAGCTCAAATTTAGCATGAACATCATTAGCAATGTTGAAAAAATAATCTAAGGAAATTTTTAGAACCTGCTTTAGACTACACTGGAATAGATTCACAGATTCTTAGCTTGATATCAAACCTAACCTTCACTGTAAAGGAAGGATTCAGAGAGATTTTGAGGGGTGAGGAGGGCATCTTTTGTGTTGCAAAAAACAATTGTGTGTGTGCGTGTGTATCCTGATAAAATAGATTCTTGAAGACAGGTGACTAAAGTCATTTACTGACACTTGTACATCATTTTGAAATAATCAAAATCCACATATGTATATCCATAACACTTTTTACAGATAATACATGGATTCTGTATTTGCTCACTCTTTCACAGAGGTAGAATATCACAAAATATCTTTAATATGAAAGTATGTTGGGTCAAAGACAAAAATTGCCCAAACCCCACAACCAGTGTAACACAGGCATATACTCCAACCTTCAACACTTGGTGCAATGAGAATGCCCAGAACCAGATACTACTACAGTACACTGATCCTGTATTCTACCATGATGCTAGAATGTGACAATATAAAGGAGTATCCATATGTGTACAGTAGTACATATGGGCTAGGGGGAAGTGAAAAAAAAAAGAAAAGAAAAGAAATCACTCAATCTCTGCAACCATAGTCATAAGCATTTCACTTCATTTGAGGCAATGGGTGGTACTACTGAAAGGTTGAACTTGCTCAAGACATCAACATGGCTCCACATCATTACAGTAACACAGATTCTTCCTAGACAGAAGTGCTGATCCAAACCCAGTATTTTTTTTTGTTTTTATTACAGGTATTAGGCTAGTTAATTTAATGAGCTAAGCAAAAAAATGTTACCACCATAGTATTTCTGTTTAATTCCTAATTTAAAACTTTGTTAAATAATCTACCTATTTTCAATATGTAAAAAATGTGCTTAAGCTTAAATTATACACCGAATTCTAATTTTAACTAACTTTTATTTTATTTTATTTGAATTGCATCAGCTCTCAGGGAGTAGAAAATTCTTGTTTTCCTAACATACCAAAGTATTTAGAAAAAATAAAAATGCATTAATTTTTAGGTCCCAATAACTTTGAAAGTTATTCATTCTTTCTTTGCAATAAGACTTAATTTTCAATAAATTTATGCTTTACAAAGTAACTGAATAAAAACATGAAAAAAGAAGACTGACCCTATTAAAGTTTGTTGACGATGATGAAGGAAGATGCAGAATAATTGGGGGGGGGGAATAAAAAAACCAAGTCATATTAAAAAAAAAAAAAAAAAAAAAATGATTATTTAAATTTAAAGAATAACAAAAAAAAAATTTTTTAAATAAAAAAAATTTTTAAATAAAAAAAAAAATTGTGCCCTCAAAGAGGCTGAATATTTTTATTTCATTGTAAGTTAAGTACATGCATGTGAATAATTTTTTAAAATAGGTCATAATTACGAGGTGTTTGGCTCACTGTAACTTTTTAAAAGAAAATAAATAAAAATAGATGAATCATAGGATTTCTTTTTTTCCCAATAATTCAAAAGTTCAATGTTTACTAATTGTCAATCCATGTTTGGATTTTAACTTCACTATCCTCATTTTTTAATAAAATTTAAAAAACAATTGCTGCTTTTAAAAATGTTTTAAGGATAAATAAAAAGAAAATAAATAAAGTAAAAAAACTAAAAGCCTCGGTGTCTTTTTTAAATTTTTTTTTTTCATTAAACAAAATTTATTGAAACAAAACAAGTACAGTTGACCACTGATGACAATTCCAGAACAACGTAACAAACAATTTTTTCTAACCTCTGCCAGCTGCAATGATGGAGAAAGCATTACCTCGAACCATCGCCAGTGAGACACGCTGCAAGAGCCACTCCATTTCGCGATGCTCGTCCCTTAATCGAGACGCAATCGCGCCAATCCTCCGAAGGAACGCCATCGAACGAGGGCCCGTAACCCCTGAAGTCTCCACTGCCACAGGAGTAAAAACAAATCTATCAGCAAGAGAAGAATATTTAACTATTTTTTTCATCTCTGCGTCCCGGGTGACGGATACTGGCTCAACCGCGGAACTGATCAACCGACCGAAAATGTATCCGCACAGGTCGCATCCCAAATCAACGACTTTCCCATTTTAAAAGGGGAAAATGGTATTGCCATCCGGCCGGTTTCCATCACCGCGGTCGAGGCCTAAGGGTTCGATTTGGGAAGGGAACCCAGCTGCATCCAAACCTCTTTTGATGATGTCGTTAATGGCAGCATGCCGTGGAAAGAGGCCGGCACTACGACGACAGGAGAGAGGATGCAAACCAAACTCATCGATGGAGGCTCCACATCTGTATCTGTGACGCTCACATAATTTGAGTCCATGACGGATCCCGACTCCGACTCGAATGCACTCATCATCTAGAAGGGTACCGGTAGATGAAGAGGGAACTGCGTTGAGCCAGGCGCCACTACTCGGTTGTGAAGCAGATAGTAGACAGGTGAGGCGATGCTGATCCAGAGAGCCTCAAATTTTATTTTATCCCAGCATTTTTGTTTTGATGTGTCTCTAGTGGAAGAGAAAGTAATTCTTGGGTCCAGACGCTGCAAGCTTGTTCGAAAGAACTACCTGAGAACCACCGAGTATCTCGCCAATTAATTCGTGACTGGACGAAAAAGTGAAGAAGGATATGCTGGAAGGGCCAAATCTACCGCTGATCGAAGGCCCAGGCCCCTCCGAAACTCAAAGGGAGCTTTGCCTGCCTCCATCCTGTTTCGTCGAAACTGACGTTGCAAATTAGCTCCGCACATCTCTTAACTGTGATATCTAAGAGGGCTGGGTGTGCATCAATTAGTTGCAATTTCTCAGTCATTCTTGTTAGAATGACATGCTTAGTATCCAAACACTCTCGAATGGCCATTGGAAAGACTGGATAACCAAGAATATGTAATTCCTCCTTAGGTGTTATTTTAATATCCTCAAGGATGAGTCTATCCCGGATAACGCTCTCGAAATCATCTACAGTATAATTCAAGTTTATTATCTCTGACTTGGACGAGTTAATCTCAAGTCCAAGCAGAGATAAAGCAGGAATAACTCGTCGGAGGTCAGCAGCTACGGCCTCGATGGATCCTCCCAACGTTGCATCGTCAAGATACCATATATTGAAAGGAGAAGCGATGGAACGAGCTACCCCGTCAATAGCCATCGCAAATAGTAGCAGACCAAGTGGATCACCTTGCTGGATTCCAGTAGCAGAAGAGATTGTCGGAGGCAATCAACATACTTGGATGACTATGCGAAAGATGAGCCAGTTTAAAAATGGAGGGAGTCCGTTGATGGCAAACTTCCAGGGCATGATCCCTTCTGATGCTATATTGAAAGCGTTTTTCATATCCAATTTTAATAAGATACGTGGGGACGCAGGTGATGTATTCTCGAAAAATAATCTTGTCACGCATGAACCGCGGCTTCACATCCTCCCTGTATGCCTACACCGAGCTGGACAGGTCGCAATTCATGCCCTATCTCCTTCACAACTCTACAAGCAATTTTTGCGGCGAGACAACGAAAAATATTACCAACAGCGATAGGGCGCGGATACCACCGTCTTTTTCTTTTAAAGCCATTAAGTTGGCTGAAAATATTAAGTCGCGAGCATGTTGCGGTATCTCATCTCGGAGAAGGGAATTAATAAGAGCTGTTATGGATGTTTTCAAACGTTCACCAGCTTCGGCAGTGTGGGCAGAAATTAAGTCCTTGATGTGACCAGGTCGAAGGCCGTCTACACCTCCACTATTGCTTCCCGAGAAAGACTTCAGAGCAGCAACCATTGCTTCCTTTGAGATTTCAATATTTGAATAATTGTTTTGTAAAGTTTTTATGCCATAATTTTAATAATGGCAACAAATTATTTTGCATTCATCGACATTTTTTTGTGAAATGCATTATTTTAATTTTTCTAATGTTAATTTTACAAATCACTTCTTGCTGCGAATTTAAATTTTAAAAACTACTACATCAACACTCGTCAAGTAAGTGCAAGTGTGAACATGGTGTAAAAACATTTTGTACTAAATGTATTGCTTACAAACGAGGAAAATATCTCTTTGAAAGTCTTAGAAGAATTGAGATGAAAAGCGAATCACTTTTTAATTGAATAAAAAAAATCTAACAAACTTGTTGAAGGGAGAAAGGACTGAAAAATTATTAGTTTGATCTGCTTAGTATTTTGTTCAATGCATAGGAACTATAATTACTATAATAATTAATTAGGAACATTACAAAATAAATATTGGTCATTGAGAGGAAGGAATAAAAAATGTCTCTGATCAATTCAATAGTTCAAATTTAAAAAGCCTTCTTTAACGAAGCATTTTTTAAGTTTTGTGTTGCAGCCTACAGTACAGATTTTTTTTCACTTTATTTTTTATTTCCTGGGGGTTAAAACTGTTGAATAAGTCAGTTTTAAAACTTTGCCCTGAATTTGAAAAATTCTTTTTGCAAAAGAAAAAAAATCTCTGAATTTTACTTCTGCATTAAGAAAAGACAACAATGTCATTTTTAGATTTTGTTTTATTTTTTGACCTCCTCATTGTTTTTCTCAAGCCTAGCAAAAAATAAATTCTAAAAGTTGTGAAACACAGAAAGTGAGGGGAATCTAATTTAATTTTATCATTTTAAATTAAAGACAAACCAACATTTTGATCAGAAAACTTTGGTTGTTTGAAAACATTCTTTGGAGAGTCTTAGATCAAATCTCAATAATTTCATTATTATTCTTGCTTGAGTCCTTGACACACACACAAAAAAAAAATCGATGCATTGTAAAAATGCTGCCTATAGAGACGAATCTCCAAAACTGAATTATAATGAACTTTCAACTTTTTAAAAGTTATTAAACTTGTCTTGTTTCTTTTGATAAAAAAATTCAATGGGGAGGGGGGATGCCTTGCAGTCTGGTATAAGGTCATGTAATATTTGAAAATAACTTGTATTTATATTTCCAATAATGATAATTACTTACTCGGCCGCAGCACCAAACTGAAAGAAATACGCGAACAATTCCTGCAGCTGTTCTGGGGTCTGTAGGGAAGAATGGTGCCGAACTTTGGTAGGCGGACTGTAGTCAAGTTTTTCAAACAGCTTTATAGCATTAACTATAATATCCAAACATCCCCCAAGACCAAGTGCCACACGCGGTTTCACATGATTGACTTTCTGTTCGGCTCGCAGCAAACCTGAAAGTATTTGATCCAATAACTCTTTTGGATATTGTTGTGTTTCCAGGCTTTTCTGGTAGTTGTAGTAGTAATAGACAGCTACAAAGACAACCAGCAGTGATACTATACTCAAACTGCTGCTTAACGTCTTCCACTTCCAGTGGACTTTTGTGGACATGTCGAAATTTTTTTCTGGGTTCAATTTTTTGTGCATGCTTTTTAAAGGACAGAGTTTTTTGGAAAAAAAACTTCCCTCTATAAAATGATTATATAACTACTCTGTAAGTATATTGTTATTTTGTGAACTTCTCTTGTCATGGTTTTTGTTGTCAATGGATTAAGTGGGGAAAACTAAACGCGAACGTCAGCTGGTTGTTTCTAAAACCTGAATCTCATCAAAAGCGAAACGAAATTACTCTTTTTGTTTACCACCCAGTGAACAGCTGTAATTTATTTTCAAAAGTAGAATAAAATTAAAATAGGTATTTAAAATATGAATTTTACGTCTTTTATTTTTAAAAGACGTAAATTTTTTCTGATAACAAAACTTTTATCATTTTTAAAAAAAAGAAAAGATTCAGTCTAAAAACTAAAGTCGAGCTGACCTAGTGACCTACGCTAAAAAAATAACAACTGATAAATTAAGAAATATCAATTATCTGTGCTTATTTTTAGGATATATCGACTGCCATGTGTCACTCACTGTCAATAAAACTAAGAACAAAGATACATAATCAATTCGCTCTTATTCTTCTTATATGAAATATTTTTTTTTATTTTTGCTTATCATTTTTTTCAACATTCAACAAATAAATATCGAAAGATACTTGGAGATACTGATAACACTGTGTAGTGTATTTTTTATTTTATTTTATGCAAACACTACACTAACAAACAAAAATGATACCTCTTGCATGGGACTCAAACAGCACTCCACAATTCACAATATCCATAAGTCGATTACTGCAACATGGCCAGATCAATACCAATTTTTAACTTTTACGGAAGCAACAAAAAAAATAAGACAATAATAAACATATAGTACTCTACTTTAGTTTTTATGAAACTTGCTAGTAAAAATCCCAAATTGAACATGAAACCACAGACGTGTCAACTATCCCCCCAAATATCCCGGGATACTCCGTTTTGCTTTTTATGATATCCTTGTCACCCGGTTCGCAACTAACTACTGTTTTATTGTTGGTTTTTTTTTTTGTATCTGTTGAAATTTCTTTTCTTTTTTTTTTTTTTTTTTTTGTTTACTTTACAAGATTCTCACGGAAAAATGAATTGGGCTTTCTCCCCTAGATGCCAAGTGAAAATAATTCCTAGTATTCAATCTGCATGTTTTCAAAATAAACTTTTCAAAGTTTTCATTTCAATCATGATACTATGATTTTTTTTTAGTTATTGTGAAAATCATTTTTCTATAACAGATTTTTATTTGACGAGTTTGTTTTCAAGTGAAACATTGGCCTGAAATTGGCTAATTTTTGGGGGCCCAGAATTATGTCGCCGTTGGAAATAACTGCTGTGAAAAGGAAAAATAAGACTAAGAGGAAGGGGAGCAATATAAGATACGGCCTGTGTGCTCAAGTAAAAATGAGTCACAGAAGAAGGCACACAAAAATAAAAAACATAAATGACATCTGACAGGTCAACAAGAGGACAACAAAAATGACAATCTTAAATTAATATAAAATTTATTGACATAATATATACAATAGTAGTGTTTTGGTTAAACGAACCGAAAAGAAACATGAACAAACAATGAATCAAGTAAAAATGGAGGAAGAATTAAGTAAATGGAGGACTAGTGATCGGATAGAAGATCAAAGATAATATAACTGTGATTAATATTAAAAATAGAGTCCTGGTAAGTTAGGTTTGGTGGAGAAAGGCCATGGTTTGAAAGTGTAGTGGACGCCTACGTACACCACGCCCACAAATTACTCAACAGTAATTGGACGGAAAATAAACAATACCTTTTGTACAGACAATTTATGCATCGCACGAGCCACATAAAAATTTCTCGTGTTTTTGCTTCACCAAACTAGCTATAGAAAAAAATCAACGATTGGTCGATTTTTGGCCAATCACATTAAATGATACTTTCTTCAATATCCATCCCGCGCTCGTCCTGGGAGCCACCTTACATCTATAAAACGTAGAAATCAAAGATATAACTTCAGTAGATTATAAATTTTCACAACCAAAACCACGTACGCGTATATTCAATTTTCTACTCACAAACACACACAGATATAAACTGCACTCACACAACACAGTGTACTGTCTGTTTACAAGCCAAATCAATTATTCGAACTATATCATTCTTCTGCACAAATATTTCAACTTTCAAACTCAAACATCAAACATTCTTAAACTACCAACAAATTTAGACAAAAGACATTATTACAACATACATTGTTCTTCACACAATACAAGGGAAACCACTTCGTGTGACTTAATCTTTATTGTTGTATTAACAGAATTATATGTATATGCTTGTTTTAAATACATGTTTACTTGTTGATTTTTATTGATCTCTCGTCATTCATTCTTGTGTTTTCTTTACAAATTTAAAGTGGAGTGTTAATGTAAAAACGCAACCTTGATCAAAAACCCTTCTGATTTTTTTCTAACGAACACCATTAACTACCCCACAAAAGTTCAGTTTAAATGTCCAGTGTTGGAATTGAATAGTTGGTGGTTAAGTCAAATGATGAGCCTTAACCCAAGTGTACGGAATAGGTAGGTTGTTAGGTTTGGCAGAAAAAACCAAAGGTGAAGAAAATTCAGTTTAAATATCCGGTGCTGACATTGATTAGTTGCTGGTGAAGTCAAATGATAGACTTTCCACCAGATTTAACCCAAGTATACAGAATAGATTGTTGGAAGCCTAGACAATATGCATGCAGCAACTGTGGTAATTATCATCACCATCATACATACAAATCATGCGACATGCATTCATTGGTTAATCTCAAAACCAGCTTGCTGATTGGTCAATTCCAACCAATCAGATATCCTGCACGTGAGGAATGAAATTTCCCACTCACTAAGGTTTGAGTCAGTCATGTGATACACCACCTTATATAAACAAAACACGTGTAAGCTCTCTCTCTTCATTCATCTTATTCCTTGCTGCCAAGTTGTAATCTTCAAGAGGTCCCGTCTTGATCGTGTGATCAGACGTTAAAGAACATTACCATTTCACGCAAGTACGAACCTTTAACTCTTCTGAACTCTTACCAACTTTACCAATTCACATTTCCTAACATGCAACAGGAACTTTATTCTTCTAAAACTTCAGTTTAATAATCACTTCATCTTTATGAGCTCTGGTACAACTATTTCCAAATCTAAGAGACATAACTCATTCAAACCATCAGCTTATATGCATGTACATCAACACTAATAAATTCAATTGTTATGTTTTGAACCATTATGTTCTGTCTTGTATTTTATACTATGTGCTATTTTACGTCAAATATAAATTGCAATGTGACAGCTACATGTTTGGTAACCTCCAGCGTCTTTGCTTGTCCTTTTTCACGTCATTCCCAGTCAAAGATAAATAATTGCAGTGATGCGCGCTACACAATTTCCTAAACCAGGTGAGTTAGATTGACAGGAAATGCCGGTGATAGGTAAATTCTGGTGATGCATTGAGTGAACCAAATGAGTTAGATTGAAAAGACCAGTAATGCATTTGCAATAAGCAATTGAAGATAGGCCAAAAGAGCTGTACTCTCCGGTGCAGGCATTGTAATGAACCAAGTGAGTTAGGTTGAAAAGAAACACTGGAAATGATCTCTCTATGTTTAGCCAGAAGTAAAGAGCTCTGATGGCCACTAAATGCGCAAGTTCAGAAAAGCCTATGGTAAGGGGCTGTTGCAACCATTTTATGAGCAGGTCCAGAAATGCCAGAAGTAGGTAGGGCTTTTGGCCATTGCAAGGGCTGATTAGTACAGTAACGAAAGCTGGGAGTAGAAAGCTGATGTGACCAGTGTATGTGCAGAAATGGCAGAAGATAAGGGGCTGTGATAGCTGAAAATAATAACTGCCAGGAATGCCAGAAGTAAGAGTAGAGAGGAAAGTTTCCAACTAGCATCCAGCTGGCAGACAAAATAAGTGGGCTGTAACTTAATACAGAAACAGTCCAAGTTGTCCAGCGGCCTGTGCTCTTCCGCCTCTCTCCTTGATCAGTGAAAAGATCACAGGTTTATATAATAGGTATGTATTTATGTCTCCAAGTTTGATATGTATTTAATATCCAAAAATTAAATATCAAGTTGCTGTAATGTATTAAAAATGTTCAAGGGGACTATTTTGATTGTGTTAATATTAATCAATCAACAAAGAGAAAAGTGGTTGATTATAAAATCTAAAAAAGCCTGCCATGTTTAAAGTGGGGTGATGTAACGAAGAAAAGGCAAAGATCCTAAAGTAATAACTTGTCCACTATGAACATGAATGGGAGTAGCATGGAAGGCACTATGATAAGAGTTAACATTGTGGGGCTGATTTTGAAATCCTTCTGTTTTTCTTAAAATCTCTGTTTTTCTGAAGTAAGATATCTAAATCTCCACATTGTAAATTTTTAGGTTGACAGGTCTGTGAGAGACCTATATTGACTGACACAGTGGTTACAGGCCCATCACCAGTGTGTTTTGAATGGAGGATGGCTTTTAAAAGAAGAGTGAGTAAAAATTTGCAGACAAAAATTACATCATTTTCACAGGTGGAAGACAAATTATTTCCTGGAAGTGGATTCTTGGCAATGGGTCTGAACTCACTAATTCAAGAACAAGTGAATATGAATAAATTTATTTTTTTTAATTTTAACCTAAAGTAATCTAAATAGCCTAAAATATGTTATACTCTACTGAAAATTAGATTTCTTTCTGATTCACTCTA